AAAAAAAAAAAAAAAACTCAGCCCTTCACAAGGTCCACATCCACAGGAACGTGAGAAGCGGCCTCAGACTTTCTGAAAGTCCAGCATGCCTTTCATCTAGGTCGGGGGTACTACAAGTTGAGCGCTGAACAGCATAGTTGGCCGCAAATGCCTGTAGCATGCAATGTCAGAATGAGAGGAACAGAACGCCAAACTGCCAACCCCACCGAACAGCTGGCCTGAGCCTCGCCAGGCGATTGGATCGGGACGTCAACCTGGCGGCGCCCCTCTTGGCCTGGCTGAACCTCACAAGCGCCAAGCATCCAACTATTATTACGATTATTGTTACTATTATGATTACTTGTATTATTACTTGTACTATTACTTCTAATATTACTATTACTAGTATTGTTATCAGTAATCAAATTAATCGAAACCCTCCACAGAAATCACCGGGGAGTCCTCCTCCAGGATGAAGTCTCGTCGTCGCGGCCCAGTAGCTTTGATTTCAGCTAGCCCCACCTGAGCCATAGTCTAAACTCCTCGTATCCCCCTTAATAACCCTTATAGTAGTCCCGTATATAACCCCCTAATATGACTAGTAGGCCCCTATATAACCCCCCTCAAGGAGTTTAGACTGAATCTCACCTGAGGAAGCACATGGCTCCTGGCCGGGTGGCCCGCCCAGAAGAAACTTTACGTTGGGGGACAATAATACGAATAACAGAAAGAATAATGGTAATGTATGATAATGGTACAGTTATGTACAACAACAAATTATACTAATGAAAATATTAATACTAATAGTAATATTAATAGTAATGGTTATATAGGAGAACATGACTGAATGTTGGAGGTGGGCATATTTCGTATTAGTACTAGGGATCAAGCGGGCGGTGCCGCAAAGTCATCTGTGGCGTCGCTGAAAACCTCCAGGAAAGCGGCGAGCGTGACTTAACTGAAGAACAACACCGAGACGCAGAGCACAGCTAACTACTATAATATACTGGGATATATACATATATATACAATATCTACCCCAATATACTACCGCAGTCCCTTTGCTTGCCTGCATCGGCTGCATGTTTGGCATCAGGTCAGGGCCACTGAAGAAATCACTGTAGGAAGTCCGCAACCTCTGCAGCATGCGACCCGATCCCTTCGCGCAGCTCTGCGATTGCCAACTAAAGCCGTCAAGGGCGTACTGTAGCATCTGACATAGCTCTTACAGTGCTTCTCCGAGCTTCTATAGCTTCTCAGAGGCCGACCCCTGCTTACGCAGGAGCTCATGCTTGAAGTCCTCGAAGCACAGCCACTGAGAGCTTCCCGAAGCAGAAAACACAACCAGGCAACTAATCCTCTGCTCGGAAGCTTGCAGGCCGCCTGCCATCAAGCAACGGCTCAACCAAACGGAACCGAGTCTGCCAAAGAAATGCGTACTTCCATTGAGCAGTAAAGGGTTTCAGCTAGGAGTGCGGCAATGGAAGAACCAACTGACATCCAGTAAGCGGGCGCTTAAGTTGCAAACGGAACTTGCTGGCCTCCGGCCATTCCGGAGCTGCGGCTTTCCGCATGCCGTGAGCTCCTCCTCCAGAAGAAGAGGAGATTGTGCAGCACCATGCATCGCAGGGCTTCCAGAAGGGTTGGCCTGAAGCTCCTCCTTGCGAGGGACCCCCGCAGGATGATGACCTGGTCTTGAGCACACAGCGCTCACATGCAAAAAGTGACTGACAGATCACCAGATCAACACCTCAGGGCTGGGCAAACAGCTTCCTGAAGTAGGCCACGCGGCATCCCACTAGCTATCAAGGTCAACCCACCCGCAATAAGAACTGCTTTGTGGTTTGTGGTTGCTGTGAGTGCCATGCAGATCGCGGGCATCGCTGATGTTGGTGCCCTAAGTTTGACTCCTTGCTCTTGTACAGGCATGTTCCTGAGCCAACCGCCCAACACAATTGCCCAAGATATCGCTGTCATGATCGAACATCGTGTGACGGGATGTCGAGGCATCAAATGGTTGTTGGCTCTCGGTTGTGGCACGAATCGGATCGCGCGAATCGTGGGAACGAATCAGATCAGAGCCGGGTCGGATCGGACAGGTACGCATCAGATCGGGAGTCCTACAAATCGGATCGGGGGCGATTGAGGGGGAATCATGGATCGGATCGCATGGAGTCCCGAAGCGGATCGGGCCCTAAACCTAAACCCCCTAAACCCCTAGGCCTTGAATAAACCCCAAAACCCTAACCCTAAAGCCCTAAACCCTAGAAAATTATGCGAACCAGAGGCGTGCAGCCCAAAACCGCACACACCCAACCCTGAGCCCTGAGCCAAAATGCTACATTCCCACTCAGGCCTGCTTAGGCCGTACAGGCCCGTGTCCATAACCCCTGAACCCAGAACCCTAAACCCAGACAATAAACCCCAGATTCTGAAGCTTACGAGAAAAAACTAAAACCCCAAACCTTAGACCGTAAACCATTAAAGCTCTAAACCCTGAAGCTTACAGCCAAAAAACCCTGAACCCTAAACCATAAACCCCTAGACCAAACCCCCAAGCCTTAACCCCTCAACCCCGGACCATAAACCCTAAAGCCCTGGACCCCAAAACTGACAGACCTGAACCCAACACCCTAAACCCTGAAACCTAAAGCCTAAAGCCCCGGAAGCGGCCAGCGTGTCCCCATGTAAAATGCGTTGATCTGGCTTCCTGCTTATCTGATTCGTGCCTCGTGCTGATCTGATTCGTGCCTCCCCATGATCTGATCCGCGGCCACCCCTGATCCGCGGATCTGGCTGATCTGATCCGCTGACCTCTGATTCGTGAGCTGATCCGCCGCACTAGTTCGTGCATGGCTTGATCTGATTCGAATAACTTTCATTTGCTGTCTATGCGCCTGACCATGTAGAGAGAGTGCCAGGGGCATATTTCCTTGCACGCAGCAAGCCAAGATCTCGGTCTGTCCCACACCGCTTCGGCTTGCGTAGTTCACAAACACTTCTGCAGCAGGCTGTTTGCTTGATCCGCAGACAGCGCGATTTCCTTGCGACCATGTGAGGCAATCAAGTCCTGCCCTACAAAACATAAATCGAGTCATTGCCGCCGGAATTCGTGCTGTTGCAGCCGGTGCTGCTGTCAACGATGCAGGCTCTGTGGCTCGCTCTCTAACCACACTTCTGAGATGCTCGGAGCAGAGTCTTGTTGGACTGATTGCCGTGCTCACTGCTGCGCTTCTTCATCAGCAATGGGGTTGGCGTGGATCACGATGCTCTGGCAGCGTGCGAAGCCAGCAGATCACTATCGTTCAGGAGAAAAGTTCCAGCTGCGAACTAGGGCCTCGATCTTGATGGGCCGCATCGGTCTGTTCTTCGCATTGATCGGCTCCTACAAAAGAACCAGACCAGCATAGATTATGGAGATCACAAGAGGAACCAACGTTCAAGCAAGAAGAGACTTTAGTCTGACATGGCATGCCATATGTCAAACTGCGGGATCCTTCTCCATCTTGTCCAAAGTGTCTAGACCATCAATGAGCCTTCCAAATGTGGTGTAGACACCATTGAGGTGCGGCTGGCGCGAGTACCTTCCATGCATATCTCAACGTAATGTTCTGAGCAAGGCACTGCACTGAAATATACTGAAATATTTCCCAGCTTCGAGCTGGACTGATTGCACTTGGAGCTAGCAGCGGCAAGAACGCCCGAAGATCCATGCGCACGTAACGAAGAACTGGCTGCCGTTTGTGTTGGGGCCGGTGTTCACCATGGACAAGCAACCTGACGAGTCACTTCACTCTAGATGTCTCCAGAGGGCAGAGATTCATCAACTTGTGCCTCTTCTTTCATGCTTCAGCGTGGACACAAACTCGTCCTGGCAAACGCTTGCCCTTTAAATGGTATACAAACCTCAGTCGCTTGCGGCATCACAGCAAGCAGACTCTGCTGAGATCTGACTGCTTCAAGCTAAGTTACACCTTGCTTCTCACTGCTTCGAGGCCTCGAAGTAGCCCCCATAGATACTCTGGCCACCTTTGCCAGTGCCTGTGGGGTCGCCGCCCTGCAAATGTCTGCCAGCGGGTGCAAACCAAGATGGTATGAATCCGAGAGGGCTGCTACAGGAGAAATTGCCACTTGTGCTCCATGCCAATAAAATGAGCCTCAACAAACACAGCACGTGCCTGGATCATGAAGCCTTTGATGTTTCTGTGGAAGTTCGTGTTGTCATAATAGCCTGGCAGACATCAAACTGGCATGCTTGAAGTGAGCCATCTCACTCAGAAACATACACTCGCAGGCTGTTCAAAATCAAGAGAGGCAGGATGGCCAGAAGCGGCTAGCGCCAGGAAGTTCTTGCAACTCTTTGGAGCTTGGGCACAAAACAGCTCAACCTGGCATCTGCTTGCTCTACATTTACACGACATTGTGTGAATGAGCAAGGGAAGCCAGACTCCACTGCTTGAACCGACATATGGGAATCTGCTCTGGTTTGGGCAGCAGGCTTTACTTCGTGGAGCAACGGAAAAGATCGAAAACCCTGGCCAGAACAGCCAGCTAGGTCATCCTCAACATGAGCAGAAACCTCTGTATGGATTCTCCTGTTGTATTCCTACTATACTCTTGGGGTAACCTGTTTTGGGGCTTCCACCTTGAGCGGGCCCAGATTGGTTTTGATGGTCAGCGACATCAACCTCAGATCACACCAGCGAAACTAGTGAAAGCATAGTGAATCAGCATGCACGAGTTGGCTTTACCTGCGTGTATCAAATTCCTACTCGCGCCTGTGTGAATCCAAGGCTACAAACTGAAGCTGCGAGGATGCGACCTTCTGGGTCCTCTGCCCAGGCACTACTCAGCGCTTCTCTTGAGCCCACCAAGACAGTGCGGATCTATTTGCATCAAGGCCCTGCGCTCGTACGATGGAGTACTACAAGCTACTGACAACTTCCATAGGACACTCGGAGGAGCAGCCCTTCCTTTTGTTGTGGCTCTGCGGCTCTGGACGGTCATCAGGCACCTCGTCAGCATTCAGAAGAGTCTCAGCCTGGCCGATTGCTTGATACTCAAGGAGGTCCCGTGCTGAAACCAGACTCCTGCCGCCATGCTGATTTGTGCTTGCCCTTGCCTGCTCCCGCGGATCTCAAGTAATTTGACACTGCAGAACACACAATCACGACAGGAACGCTGCGACATGATCGCCATGCGTGTGGACCTGTGCCACACAATGTTTCAGCTGCAGCACATCAGCATCACATTGTCGGTTGCTGTTGCTGCTGTTGTTGCTTGTACAAAGGAAGAGGAGCTGAAGCAAGGATGGTGAGATGTGGCGGCGCCTCGCGGATGAGGTATCGCCCCTCGTCCGCCCACGCCACGACCCTAGCACTATAGAGCAACTTCGAAAGGCTCATCGAACTGATGGTCTAAGCAAACCAGTGGCATGACTCACATGACGCTGGGTGTTGGAGCCGGTGGGAAAAGAAAGAGCAAGGTCGGACCTCTCGTTCATGGAAATCTGAATGCCCAGGTGTTGAAGAGCAATTCGCGAGTACCTCAAAGTCAGATATCATCTTAAAATCATGAGCATGCTCCACCATGTTCCTCCGAACTGCGCCTGACGATCAGGAGGCTGAGGGACGTGCCACTGCCCCAGATAAGGGATCCTGAGCATATGCCAAGCTTCAACGTCGTCTTACAGCATAGTTAGTGAAATCATTTTGCAATGCTAGAAGCCAGGACGAAGACTTTATCAGCGACCACTGGGGAGTCTCAACAGGAAAATCTACTTCGAAGCACCCCCAAGGTTAAGGAGCCGGCTGCCTGCTTTGGACAAAATCCTGGAGGTCATGTAGGGCAGCCTCAAACTGCAGCACGCCTTTCTGCGCGTTCATGTCCATCCCCGTTTAGCGGCTGGATTATAATCAGCGCAAGACAGGGTCCCGGCAGAGTGGCCTGTGAAGCGGGGATCTCCGGCGAGCTCTCCTAGGACTTCATCTTTTGCTGCAACTTCTGCTCCCTGTCAACCGCACTTTGTCCATCTCTTTCTTCCCATTTTTTTGCTCAGGTAGTCGGGCACCAAAAAGCAAACAGGAATCTGAAACCCTAAACCTTAAACCCTTCATCTTTCCGGGAAGGACACAGTCCTTGGCTTGTTACCACGGAGTCACGCCGAGCACTGGGAGCCGAGGCCATGGCTGCTTGAGCATGCAGAATTCTATCCAAAGGGGTATGGGGATAATGGAAAAGAAAGTAGAAGCTACTATCTAGGGCTTGGGGTTTAAGGACATCATTACAGCAACAATGGAGAATCAAACGGGGGAAAAATGGAAAATTGGATTGCACAGTGGTTCATAGAGGGTCATCTTGCAGGTTGTTCGTGGAGGTTGGAAGAACTAGAAGCAAAGAGAAATCGAAACTACGGCTGCATGGCGTCATGTTGGGCGTACTGGTTGTTTGACGGGAATGAAGGAATGGAGAAAAAACACGAACACTCTCATAGTCATGGGGATTATGCGGTGGCTACAGTAGGGATCCCTTCCTCCATTGCCTACCAACAACCCGTAAGTTCAGAGTATAGAGTATTGCGACAACACTGCTGCAAAGCATCAATGAAATCAATGATCTGAATAGTGCTGATCATCGTGGTGACTCACAAGCATGTCAGAGAAGGCACTGTCCGAAAGCGTTAACTTCATCGCTGCTGGAAAAATACTCTTCATTCTGCAGAGTTCTCGATCACATTTCTTGATTTTAGTGGCAGCAGCAAACTTCACATGACCAGCCCTTCGCACGGAGCGATCGTGTCCTCCTTGAAAAGTTCTTGCATGCCTGCATTTGTTCGTTTCAGTTCCTTCCAGATCCACCAAACAAGCGCGTGATTCATGACATTGACTCTCTCGCTTTCACTCACAAGCACGNNAAAAAAAAAAAAAAAAAAAGAACAATGATAGGTGGATTTCTGGGATCAATGTCTAGTCATAGGTTGACATTAGCGCATAGAAAGAACTGATGCAGGAAATCAAGGGTCTTGTGAATCTTCTTCGATGTTCTAGCATGGTTGTGCGTTTACTAGTAGGGCTTATCCTTAGCTATGGGAATCTCAGTATGTCAGAATTCTCCTTAGCTTACAAATTTAATGCATCTTGCGGTCTTATTAATAACAGCTCCTGCAGACATCTGTGGGTCTGCGGCTTCATTTCACCTATCTGAATTCAAGTCTGTTGGCATTAGCATGTGAGGAAATCAAATAGAAATCATTCACACCTGGCTTTTAAAAGAGAGGATGATGAGAGCAGAAATGGCGGCAATAAATGAAGAGAGGAGACAGAACCCAGCAGCCGGACCCCTTTTCCTTGAATCTGTCCTCTCCTTTATGTTACCATCTAGTCTAGATAGCCTCAGAATGGAGGCTTAGAACATATGATCCTAGAAACTATGCGACAAGACTGAGATTGAAGATTGCAAGCAGGTGATCCATCCTTTGCACTTTCAAAATCAATGTTTTTGCGGCAACTACATGCCATATCTCGTTATCTTGCGAACCCGACACCTGTTTTCATGAATTCCGCATGCATTTCCATATCTGCCACTGAGGTAATTAGAACCAAGTCACGGCATGTCCGAGTGGTAAAAAAATCCAGACGAGCATGGTCCCGGGCGAGTCCTTCGAACCTGCCACGAGGCTGTCACTACGCATGTCTGGCTGTTGCCGGACATTTCTGAGAAGCACCAAGACTTCAACCCGCGCGCGACAGGCAACTGCTAAGGATGCCAGTGCAGGTCACGCCTGGGGACATTCAAGCCTCGAAGCATCAGTATAATGCAAGAAAAAGGGGAAAAGCATTGTGGCAGCATGAAAAATGTTTAATTACGCATGCAAGCGCAGGCTAGAAGTATAGACTTTCAAATTATGCGGCTGGGCTGATCGATGTCCAGGGCATACGGCACAAAATGCAACATGCCATCCAGGCCCTTTGTCGTTGACCGCTGCCTAGCTCTGACCCCCGAGTGTCCCGAAGATCCTGAAGCAACTGTTGGGCACAGCGAGTGCAAAGGACCCGGTGCCGGCAGGGCAGGTACTCGCAGCTGGCTACGGCGCTGAGGCACACCAAACAGTCGTCCTGTTCTGGCGTTGCTGGCTGTGCCGTAAGAGCGACCGTCAGAGGGGATGGTACTCGCGGCTGAGGAGGTGAGGGAGGCATGTCTGTGATTCCAAATCTGCTACTACCCTCTAGCACCAACTGCTGAAAAGTGATTTGCTGGCGTACATCATCTAGGTAGCAGATTCGGAAAAATCCTCGCAACAATGGATTGTTGGCGAACTCGGTGCACCCTCCGTTGCAAGTCGCGCGCCAGCACCGCAACTCGACCCGCCAACCAAGCCGAAGTAACTCTCTCACCGTGCGCACATAAGAGCCATCGCCGGTGCACAGAACCATGATCTGAGGCCTATCGCGGCCAAAGACGTCCAGCAAGGTTCTGGCAGGTGCCTGTCCTCGATTGACCACCCTAAAGTTCTGAGCCTGCCAATGGCGATTTGCTGGTAGGCTAACAGAACTGACAGACGGCGGCGCGACCACCATCTTCGTGCCCACCCGGCGACCGTGGCAAAGAATCTGTGAGAATCGTTCGACATCCAAGCGCTGCTGAGTATCATAGCCTCCGTCGGGCAGCCTCCTGCAACCCATGAAGACATTGCTCAAATCCACAAGGATGTGAGCTTTCAAATTCATCTCTGCCACACGCCAGGACAAGCTTTGCAGGGCAGCCTCCATCCATTGGGGGAGGGACATGGCCGCGGGCAACAGCAATTGGATGCAATTGGTACCTGCGCTGAAGCTGGACTCAACGAGCCCAGTGGTTGCTGCGAGCCAGATCGATTTGGATTGCAAGAAGTCATATCAGGAATGTTTGCAGACGTCATATAACCGGATGCCAGAGCACAAAAGATACATGTGTCGCACCTGAATCCTGCCTGACAAGGTGGTAGGGTCTTGCCAGGATTCAAATGTTGTGCAGGAAACTGTTGAAGGGCTTTTTCAGGCCAGCCCCGCAGTCAAGAAAAACTGGCTGTGTTTCCAACCTGCTCTACAAAGAACTGCGCGCGCATCTCGTCTGACTGAAGGTCTAAGAAATGATGTTCGAAGAAGATACGTGATCCTGTTGAAGCGAGCAGCAGCTTTCATAAAGAGGCGACGGTTGGGGAGTGGGGCTGCCCTCCTCCTCTTAAGGAAGGCTGCCCCATGCATTAGCAGGCAGGAGGCCCCCAAGCCTGGCTCCGCCAGAACAATATCAAATCGAAAGCACTCGAACTGTGACTCAGACCACTCACAATGTCGGCCTCAGCTGTTGGCAAACTGATGCCGCATGTTCTCTGTCAAAAAAAGCAGCCAAGCGGCATTACCCTCCGCTTAACCTCCGAGCGGAGTCTCTCCATGACCTGCCCACAAGGAGAAAGTGAGGGCAGGGCATCCAAAACTATGTGCTGGGGCATATGCAGCAAACATCACCGAGGATTGGGTCATCCCTCGCATGATCTCCTGCCAGCAAATGCCACAGCAGCCCTGTAGAAGCTGCAAGTATGTACACACAAGTGCAAAGGACAAAGCAAGGTCCATGCTGAGTCCACGGTAGAGTGCGAACGGCCCCTCATCAAAAAAGACCTTGGGTCAATCTGAAACTGTCGCACAACTGGAGGTATTGACGTGGGAAGTTCCGCAAACCCGAGATGCTTACCTTCTGCAGCGCAGCTGAAGCACTCGGCGCTAGCTTTGCCTCGCAGATTCCAGCTGTAAATCACTGGACGGTTGAAATCATTGCAACCCTGCCACGGACATAAGAACACAGGCTTCCGCAGAACAAGGGCGCACACAAAATATTGCATCATCAGCAACCTTTGCGCTAAGTATAAGCGATCCCGCGATGCCGATTTGGCGTGCCTGGGCCAGAGCTTTTCCTCGGACCTGAGAAGGGCTTTTAGCATGTGCTCATCTAATCTATCCCTGATCTTGTGCGGACTCAAAGCTGGGGCACCAGCATATGGATATACGAAGCAAGTCGCAATGCCACGAGCAACTGGCAGCACTTGTGCATGAGGGATGAGGGACTGGAACAAGGCCGGAGCAGTGCTAGTGGGGTCTAGAAGGGTGTGCAGGAATCAATTGATGACCAGGCGCTGACAGTAACCCGAGTATGATCTTTGTGGCACAATGCAGGAAGCCAAGAGCTAGTCAAGCTAGCATTAGGGGAACCACTAAAATCAAACGAGGCAAACGCGGGATGTCCCGATTCCACTTCACAACGTAACTGGATGAGGAATGTCAAAAGGTAACGCCTCATGACAAAAAAGCACTTGCAAAAAGAATGTTTTATGTAAAAGTTGGAATTCTTACTCCAAGGCAATCCGGGCAGACCCGCTCCAAGAAGGAAGGCCAATAGGGGCGAAAGGTCCTGTGCCAGGGGCGACTTCAGTTGCAAGGAGCCCGAGTGCCGTTTGAAAAGAGTGCGAACAAACAAAGAAAGCGCCACATGAGCTATAATCTAAACTCCTAGTATCAACCTTAATACTGCATATAGTACTCCCCTATATAAACCCCTTTAATGAATTTAGATTGTAGCTCACATCTGATTCTAAGCCACGTCGACATGGCCTTCGCTGTCGTTCTTGTGGCCTGAAGTAAGGCATGGAGGGCCGTAGCAGGTGATCCAGAGTCCATTGTGAAGTCATGCGAAATCTGACATGAGTCGACATGAGCTATAGGCTAAACTCCTAGAATCCCTCTTAATAACCCTGATAATACTCCCCTGTATAATCCCCTCGGAGGAGTTTAGATTGTAGCTCGCACGTTTCGGCTTCAGGCTTGTATGATGGCCAAGGCCCTGACCTTCAGGATCATGCCTTTGAACCAATCGAACAATGCAAATTCGATACCAGGCTTCAGAGAAACCACAAAGTACCTGGAAACACAGGTTGCTGGCGTCAAGCCTCAAATCTGTTGCATCCTTGAATCACGGTTACAAAGCATTTTGTAGATTCATTTAAGGGTTTATGGTTTAGGGCTTTGTAAGTTCAAGCTTCCCCGCCGGTTCCAGCCAGCTCTAATGTAGGTATAGACAAGTCAGAACCCTCGCTGGCGGCACGCGCTGCCAGCTTTCATTGCTGCTTTCAGGCCGTCACTGGTGAAGAGGGCCTGCAGGCAAAGCTTTCAAAGGGGAGCGTAGAAGCAGATGCCAGGGTAAAGATAGCTTCTTGCAAGACCCCAGCATACCCAGCTGCCTTGCGCACTATCTCAGACTTCGACGCGTTGGGCGGAGCAGTCTGCAGCTGCACCACGAGTGTCTGCAAAGCGCAATCGAACAGGAGAATCTTCTAAAACGCTAGGGAAGCATTCAGCAAGTGCAGCCTCCATGGGAATGCTGACTGGCACGCAGAGTAGATCACCTTGGCTGTACGGTTCAATCGGGCACTTGGCATGCAACCCGGCAGGAGTGCGGCCACGTCGCTAATGTATCCAAGGAAGACCGTTGCCTTCTCCAAGAAACAAAGCACAAATGCTCACAGCTCACTGCTCCTGTGCACAACTCGTCCTGTGGCCCTAACCAGCAGACCAGGCTCTCGACCGCTCATCCTGCAAGGCAGCCCCAGAGCAGCTTGCTGCATCTACTTGTCTTCTTTCTGCTTTGTTTGCTGACGTTGGGTCCAAAGCCTGTCCTTCGAAGCAGGGCTTTCAGCGCTGTGTAGTTCAGCACGTACATAGCCTTCTGCTCCATGGCCTGAGAGGCAACAGTCTGTCCACTTCTGAGGGCGCAAGTGTACTTAACCCCGTTGGTGCCTCCAAGGCCGAGAAAGGCCACAGTCCCCGGTACAACCTGGCTTCAAAAACAGCCATGCCCCACGCCCCCGTGCACGCCTCATGCCAAGCAATTGATCTTCAAGATTGAAGGTTATCGCAGAGAAGCAGACGCAGACGCTGAAGGAGACTGCAAAAAGACTTAGGCCAAGGCCCAGCCACACCCTCCTGTCAAAGCCAGCTCTAGTCTGTCGAACAATGACATGCTCCCTGACGGAGTAGCACCGGTTGACTGTCGACTAATCCCCCATGTCTCCACCCGTTCTTGCTTTCGCAGAATAAATTTGCAAAAACAACTCACTCCAGCGTCATGCTGCCGGCACAAGCATGCTGGCCTCTTCAAGTACGCGCTTGAACAGCGCCAGGACTGAAACATCCTGGGCAAATCATCCCAACGCATCCAAACATGGACTCTCTAGTTCATGCGGCTTATAGGGGCGGTTGGAAGGACATGGGAAACCGCTTTCTTGTTGCGAGGAGGGGACATGCATGCAAGAGAAAACTGCAGAGGTAGAGGGGCGAGCAGCTCGCCAACAAAAATGAGGTCCTCTTGAAACCTTCTGGCTCACGTTTCAAGCAGACACGACGAAGCGCTGAGCGCTCAATGAATGAGGACCCCCATAGCAAGCATCTCTTTTCATTCCTCCGCGCAGAGGCGTCTCCAAGGTAGCTCACCTTCAGTTCTGCTTTCGCAGCATTGGCTTCTGCATCTCCTGGTCCTGGCCAGCTGGTAAGAACTCGCAGAACATGCAGGACCTTTGGAGAAGCCTTTGAAGCCCTACTTGTCTTCAACATCTTGCCTCCTTCTCTCAACCTACATGACACAGTCCAGGTGCTGCGCCTTTGTCTCCACTATTACGCATTCAGAGACACGGCCTGTCAGTTAGTGAGAACCAAATAATTATAGCGTGCAGTTCCGGGGACTGGTTTTTTTCCCCCGAACGGGATTTAGAAAGTATTTGGTTTTTATTTGACCCCGCCCGGGGGTAGATAAAAACCCGGTCGGGTTTTTTTCACCTCCGGTGTGTTGGTGCAAGTGCGGGAGCTGCAAGCTAAAAAAGGACCCTTCGTTCAGATCCTGAGCCACTTCCTCCGCGAGCGGGCCGCCCGGCATGGTCATTCTCCTCCGATGCGTTTGCACTGCTAATTGCCTTGCACATTCCTGCCTTGGCCTAAGCAGACCGACTACATCTGGCCAAGCTGCCTGATGATGTCTGCGCCTTCACGAGCAAGCTCCTGACCAAAAAGGATCCAGAAAGAACCACAAGACGCAGAACTGATTTAGCCTCCAACTACACACCTGCCTTGGCATGCCAAATTGAACCCTCACCGTGAGCTGCCCGCAGAGCTGGGCGGTGAAAGCTAAGACAAGCGTTTCACAGGAGTAGTGAACGTGGGTGGACAGCTAGCCATGCGCTCAAGACGGCACATACTTTATGGCCTTGTAGACGGAATATCCGTGAATAAGAGACACAGTACTTCCCTGTAGGTGGAGAAGCCTCCACGTGTAACATGTTGGCATCGCAGCAAGCCCTTTCTCTTGAAGCACTCAAGAGCACATCAGTTCTTGCACACATCAACCGAGCCAACCAAAACCCAATAAGCTCAGGCAATTCAAGCCGCTGGCTTTTAAACGGCTGGTGAGGACTTAGATCCTAAAACTCTGCGCATACCTTAACCACCAAAAACGCTGATGCTTAAATGCCCCCTGCAACAGACTAAACCCAGAAAAGCCATACCTGGACCCTCCAATATAGTTCCTTTTTTTGGATTTGATATGGTTTTGGGTTAGGAAAAGGTTCTGCATTGGCGGGTCCAGGTACCGAAGCTTTGTCCTGGGCTTCATGCTCTGCGGCAGACTCCGCGAGGAGCTGGGACTGCTCACCCTCCTGTTTTCAGGGTTTTCCAGCCTTCTTCCAGGAGTCCGGGGTTTCAAGGTTCTGGGGATTCAGGGCTGCGGTTTCTGACAGATTCTGAGAGTGGAAACTTGCGAAGGCTTTGCAATGGCTTCCGCCCTTTTCACCTTGCCTTGGCCCATTTCTTGAAGGCATCCTTGGCTTGGTGCGGGATGCAGAAATTAGACTCTTTCAGAGTCCAGCCACATGTGAGAATATTTCGGGAAATGACATATAGGGCACTGAATTTTGGCCCAGAAGCCATGGCTTCCTTCTTCTCCTCCTCCTTGGCCGCCTCCTTGGCCTCAACGGCTGCCTCTTTTGCAGCGGCCTTCTTGTCTTCGGCAGCCTCCTTCTCCTAGGTGGCTTGGAGGGCTGCTGCAAGCTTCCGTTCCGTCTTTGGATCTTGCGGCTGAAGCCTTGAGATGGGAATGCCGAGCATCCAAGGCATCATTGGCTGTCCATTTGGCGAACATGTCCTCCTTGTCCACCTGGCTCGGTGATCAGAAAAGCCAGCAAGGCTTGCGCACTCCCGCTTGCCATATCTGCTCAAATATTATGAAGGCTTCCCCTGACAAACCTTGCTACTTTTTTCAGGTGGCTACACTTCCACGGGGCTAGACATGCGGCAGCATGAACAAACCATACGCACACGCAAACACACACACACACACACACATCAAGCCTCCTCCTTCTTCACCTCTTCCTTCTTCTCAGACTCGTCCCTTAACTAGTACGGTCTGTTGAGCTTGACATGTTGGACAGAAGCGCTTCGTGCTTGGATGGTTTGTGGTGGCCGAGCAGCTTCTTGATGTCTTTTGCGGGCTCCTGCAGGGGACGAAGAAGCTGAATTACTGTACACATTGCGTCATGCAGCTTACGCAGCTGGGCTCGCCTCAGACTTCTTCTCCTCCTGCTTCGCGGGCTTCACCTGGCAGCGCATCACTGGCCAAGAAACAAGAGCGTAGATGAAGTGCGGGCTCCAGCCTCCTCCACTGTCGCCGAACCGCCCTTGGCTAGCTGCTCGGCCTTCTCCTGAGTCGGACAGGCTGGTGAGTGCTGGCAACATGCGGCATGGCAAACAGCCCTTCTAGCACCTACGGCTAATAAGGGAAGCAGCTTTGAGCAGTCACCAGCTGTTCAGAAAGACGAGTTGGGGGCTGTCAAGGGGAGACTACGCAAGAACCTTCAGAGGCTCCAACGAGCTTCCAGCACTTGAATCCTAAGCCCTCAAGCATCTTGAAGCCAGTACAGTTACAGCTGGGCCTGAGTCTGAAAGCAACCAAACAAAAAAGGGAGATATCGTGAAGGGCTGCGAGCCTGTTTTGTCGGCCAAAGAACGGGTAGCCCACCTTCATTTCTTCCAAAAATGTGTTCCAAAAAAAACAGCATCCCCATGCACTTGGATATCTTCAGGATTTCGCTTCACAGTCCCCGACACGTGACACGTTGACTCAGAAGTCATCGAGAAGTCCGGAAATTCAGGCTAACACCCAGAATTAGGAGTTACCAACTAGTCCCAGAAGGCAGGTCCTGGGCTGCGGCTTCCGCCAGCTTTGAGGCCTCAAAGCTCCAGACTTATGGATCCCTTCTGGGGTGTCGTCGGCTTTAGGAGTGTACAGTGTACGGATTGAGTGCTTTTGGGATCTCGGGGTTTGGGGGTTTAGGGTTTCAGGGTTGTTTGGTTTGGGGCCTTTTGGTTTGGGGGTTTAGTAGGGTTCACGTTGGAGACTTAGGGCTCAGGGTTCAGGCAAGGAAGTTCTGATGGGCTGAGCTTGTAGATTGTGTGAATCATGGTTGACTACTTTTTTTTGAATGATGAGGAGGGTTGTGTGGATCATGCAGAGAGGAAGAGCCAGAGTATGACCAGAACCAAGAAGGCCTCTTGTTGATTCGGAGGCAATGCACCCCCAGCTCCCTGGGTCCAGACCCCGCACTCGAAAACAAGAGACGGTAAAATGCTGAGATGGCCTTCTCCTTGGCATCTTTGCTGGCTGCCTGCTGTGCAGCCTCCTTGGCCGCTGCCACAGCTCGGGCCTGCATGTTGAGGCAGATGCAATATCACACTACCCCGTCAAAGGTCGGACCGCGGAACTGCTAGTACAAAATCTTGAGATTCTTGCCTACGTGAGCTGTGACAGAAAGAAACTCAAGCGGACTTTGACAGGGCTCGCAATGACTAGGGCAGAGTGCAGAGTTGTGGTGTCGAGATTTTCCGAAATCCCATGGCCCATTTGGTCTCATATATTCTGGCCCATCAAATGAAACTGCCGCGCAATCAAGCCTGCAATGCCAAAATGAAATCTAATGTTCGGGCCATTGCTCTGTTTTGATGTAGGATGGATGTCAAGCTGGCTTAAGCATGATTTCAAGGGCATCTATAGGCGCCTTGGCCGTCTCCTCAGCAACCTTCTCGGCATGGTCCTCACCAGAGCAGACTGCCGTGAGTCCACAACGGTCATGGCATGACATTCAGCTGTTCAGCGTCGATGTTTTTGCAACTGCACGCCTTGGAAGCACAAGGTCGCAAAGCCATGTATCTTCGATACAATCCTGACTTGCCTGTGCTCTGCACAATAGACAGGAGCCTGCATTCGAAGCCCCGGAAACATGCTACATCAAATGCTCGATAGAGAAGAGGCACTGAAGCCTCTCTGCGTCAATTCGAATGCGTTTGTGGAAGGGTGGCCAACTAGCGTTCGCAGAACCCCCCCATGGTGGGCCAGTGCTTCTGCTTCGCGAACTGGTTGGCTGTCGCCTCTCCTGTCGTCCACGTCTCACGGTATTTCCCCAAGTGGAAAGGGGCCCAGCGGATGGAGCCTTCTCTCACCCGGATCCCACCTCCATCTTCAGGGATGTGGGGTGTCTTGAACTTAGCCTGCTGCTCGGTAGGGTGACAGAGCTCGACTTCTGCGTTCGACTTGTAGAACTCAGTGTTCGGAGGGCTCTTGTGAATCCAGTGGTCACTGGCTGTCCTGGTCAGGGACTTGCGCATCTCATCTTTCTTCCAGTCCCCATATGCCTGCGTGGTCAGATTCGAGAAAGTGTGCGTTCCGGAACCAGGTAGCTCGTGCGCCTTCATGATGCGCCTACGCTGCATGCTGGGTTCCATCTGCTTCTCTATCCAATTATCGGCTCCAAGACATGGAAAGGAATAAATCGAGACTGGGTGATCATTCTTCCGGCAGGAGTTCTTCGCCATCTCTCCTTGAGAGAGATGCGGGCAGCGGACCACCCACGAAGAACTATGGCCTGTAAGGCCTGCTAGTGGAAGGCGCTTGAGCTGGCAATGGCAACCAAACATGCGGCTCATCTCAAGTAAAGTCTCTAAATGCAAGGACAACTTGGAACAAAGAGTGGCGCTGGGAAGCGGGTGCCCAAGCCTTGACTCCAGCAGTGGCTTGCGAAACCGCCGCTGCTTTTGCCACCTCGCTGGCGGCATCCTTGGCCGCTTCGAAGGCCTTGCCATGGAAAATGCGAGGGTTTGAGCGACCTGACAGCACGCTACAAGCTGCTCTACCAAGGCCTCCTTGGAAGCTGTGGTCAGCGCTGCTCCTTTGGCATCAGCCATGGCAGTTGCCTGCCAAGCGAGCAGACTCCGAAACACTGCATGATGGACAGCGCTGATGAAGTTCCAGCCTTGGCACTCTGCAGCGCAAAGTTGGCAGCCTGTCTGAAGGCCTTCTCCAAGGCCTCAGCTGCACAGCATCTGCACAGCATCTGCACCGCATCTGCACCGCATCTGCACAGGGCTAGAAAACGCTCCTTCAGATGGCGAAACGCACGTCGGCCAGAAACGCATTGACCACACAGATCCACTGAGGAATGTGTCAACTATGTTGGAACCACGCATTTTACCAGACGTTTGAGGGTGTTTTGCAAAGGCCTGTTTTGAAAAACCTGGCAGTTGATGACATCGGAAGAAGGGTCGTAGCTTTGACTAATAAGAATCCTTGGACTAATGGCAATGATCCTTGGACTATTGGGGCGAAGCTTGGACTAAGGGGGGTTTGGCCGCGGGCCGGGCCGCCGCGGGCCGTTGGAAGCGGGACGCGGGCTGCGGGACGGGCGGGCCGCTCTAAACCCTAAAGACACTAAACCCCAAAAGCCCTAAACACCCTAAAAACCGTAAACCCTAAAAACCATAGACACCCTAAACCGCCCAAAAGCCCTCATCCTGAAGCCTAAAACCCCCTTAACTCTATCTAAACGCTTCTAAAAACCCTAAACCCTAAACACACTAAACCCTAAAAACCCTGAACACACTAAACCCTAAAAACCCTAAAAACCCTAAACCCGATAAATACCCTAAAAATAATCCTGAACCCTGAATGCCTAACTTCCCCTAAACACACTGGACCCTAAAAGCACTAGAAGCCAGAAACCCTAGAAACCCTAAATTCCAAAATCCCTAAACCCTAAACCCTGAACCCTAAAAACCTTGAACACCCCTGACTGCAAAAACCGTAAACCCTAAAAACCCTGGACACCCTAAACCCCCCAGAAGCCCCCCTCCTCAAACCCAAAACCCCCTAAATCCTATAAACCCTTCTGACACCCTAAACCCTATAAACGTTCAACCCCTAAAACCTAAACACCCTAGACCTTAAAAACCCTAACCCTTTAGATACCTGAATGCCCCTAAACGTGCTGGACCCTAAAAAACCAGAGGCCCTAGACCATAAAAACCTAAATTCCAAAAACACAAGAAACCTAAACACCTCTAGCCCTAAGAAACGTAAGCCCTAAAAACCCGAGACATCCTAAACACCAAAAAAACCCTCACCCAGAAACCCAACACCCCCTAGACCCAATAATATACCATTTTAACACCCTGAACCCTAAAAACACTAAACCCCTAAACCCTAAAGACCCTAAACATTAAGAACCCTAAACCCTGAATGCCCTTCCATTGGAAAAGGAAAAATAGCAAAATGTGTTTGAAAAAAGCAAAACAACCCATGCTCGACACCTTCCCGTTCGAACTCCACCAAAATCTGCAAAGAGGCATAAGCAGCGGATGCGGCGGCGGCCTTCTCAGGGTCTGGAACCCAGGCACAGAATGGAAAAGCAAGGTTAGGCAAGCTGCGGAGCAGGCTGTAAAACATTGACTTAACATGCCAAATCATGCCAACAGCCTGCCTGCGCATCAGGGGTCCTCAGTGGACCCTCTGGGTTAGCACAGGCGGTAGCGTAAGCCATCCCCTGCGCGTAGCCATCCGCTGAGCGAGTCATAGTCGCCGTCCTGTGAAAACGAAGAAGCTTACAATCACTGGGAACTTTGGGAACCGAAACATCCAGAGCCATAAGGTATCTTGCCTGATGGCAGATTGCGTGTAAGGGACCACGATGTCCGCTGTCGCTTCGCGTGTCGCCACTGCGCTGGCGGTCGCGGATCGCGTAGCCGAGACCTCTCCGCATGATCTAGAACTGACAATGGCACTCGTTTGAAGAACTTGGCCCGCACATGCCCCTGCTTCCCATATGATAGCCATGATCCAGGTGAAATACAAGCAGCTTCAAGCTCCCTGTCCCAAGAAACTGGCGGCCTCCTTTGTCTCTTTGCCTTACAAATGCTTCAGTTGTCGACAGCGTTGACACTGCTTCGGGTAACGAACCTGGTGATACTCTGAACTTGAAGTGCGGGGACTTGGGCAACGTGACAGAAACGGAAGTCATTGGCTTCGTTCGCTAAATCTGCTAGCCGTATACGAGGCTGTTTAGCTGCTTTAGCTGCTGTTGATGCTCTAGCTGCTAGCTGAACACTGACCCAAACAGCACGCTTAGCTGAGCACTGACCCTCTGCTTTAGAAAAGAGGCTGTCTGGGATCTTTGCGATGGCAGTCTCCGTTGCCTGGACATCTCCGGTTCTGAAGTTTTCTCCAAGCGCTGGATTTATGGCGACAATCCATGGGTGCCACAACTTAAAGACAGATCATCATACGGTAGCTGCTAAGGACAGTTCTCCCCTCTTCTGGAGCTGCACTTTCTCCTGCTCAGTAGCTCCTGCTTTCCCCATTCCAGGCCTCCTTCTGCACGCTCTCCGTGGAGACGGTCGCAGTCTCCTTCACTTCCCAAGGACAAAGGTAAACAATGATCTTCCTAATTTGCAAGGACAGCTGCTACCACAGCCCGAAAGACAGTAAGTGCTGGTGCCTGCCAATAGAGACCTCAAATGACTTTTCAAAAGCCTTCTTTATGCATCTTATATGGGGGACTACTTACAGATTTACCCTTTTGGTCTTCATCTGCGGGCCTTGGCGGCAGCATGCGCATTCTTGGTGCTGGTGGCTTTCACAGTGACATTCTTGGTCACGGACATCCTAAACAACTTGCAGCAAGCATCATTGCAACTGTTGACGGCTATAGGGCAATCATCCAACTGCTATGCGAGCCCCACAGTTATGCGCTGCCTCTGAGGTGAGACATCCCTTTTTTTTCCTGTGCTTGCTTGTTAAACCCCTCCAGAACATCTTGTTTCAAGCTCCCAGAAATTGAAAAAGGAGTAACCCCAACAGTGTTAAAGTGCCAAAGTTGTAGAAAATCCAGGTTCCCCCCCACTCTGAGGGCTTGGCGTGGCTTTGGCATTGGGCACCGTCACCTTGACTGTCGCACAAGCCTGGCCAGAGACCGCGAAGACACGCTGGCACATTTGTCGGCCTCAGCAAGGCCATCATGTAACAATACCAACTACAGGAACGATAGCAGGCATACGACGAATAATGATAACAATAACAAGCTAAAAGTGTCTTACGATGCATGCGGGCAAAGTAGGTGTGTAGGATGGCCATCCTCAGGGCTTGTACATGGCGAGTAAGCACTTGCAGGAAAGTGGCCCGGCTGACATTTGTCATTCGCGGTGCAGTCGAGGCAAATCGCCTGGAAACCGGCCGGTGATTGATTGCCTGCCTAGATTCATGCCGTGAGACCCTTCCAACACATTCCTGTACGTGCCAAGCAGCCTGCTTGAGTGCGGCAGCATCCTCCTTGCCTGTGTAGTCTGCAGGAAGTTTGCACGTCAGGCCATCCTGGCATCGCTTTATCGCTATGTTAACTCAGGCATTGAGCCCCTTTCTGCAAAGTGTACGTGAAGGCTCCTGGCAGGCCAAAGGCCAGTCTTCTTGTGCAAAGCCGCCGCAAGTGACGCCCTTCGTGAGCTGAGGAACACCTTTGTCGAATATCAGGCGACCTTCCATGGGCTGACCATGTAATTTCGCGAGCCAAGGCACATTTCTGTCCCTCACTGTCCCAAAAGGTGCCGAAGCCACAGATGCACTCATCAAGGGCCTCACCACAGCACACCAAGATCATTGAGGTCAGAGGGAGCATACATCTTGAGGCTTGCCTTGACCAAAACGCCGGTCTTGTTCACCAGCTCGAGGTGGGGCCGTGAGACGCCATCTGCTTTCTCCCCGAAAGGCGTAATGGCTTCCTTAGACGGAGCGTCTTATGGCACTCAAGTACTCAAAAGAATTCTTGGGAGGGCCCTGAAACAATGGATCCCGACCCTCATGTTGCCAGCCACTAGCCCACGCAACTCTCATTTGTTGACAACCCTGCAGCTGCCTTGTGTGCTTGGCCCAACAACTAGTGGTCAAGTTATCTTGCCCATGAGGTGGTTCTGCTAGTACCACCCAAAACACACAGATTCCTGATATCCCACAACTGGTATTTCTAATTGCTCTGGTAGTGGAGGAGTGGCCACATCCCGGAGCTTGTCGGGCTCATCGCCCATTCGGCGGACCAGAACCGCATCAGCCACCCTCAGGACCAGAAGTGCCTGAGAACACTTGGAAAAATTATTGCTGCCTTGTGGCAAGGAAGACCCCAACATACACACCCCGAAATGCTATAGTCCTTATTACATGGACCCCCCGAAAAGTTGATGAGCTCAAGCGAGCAGAGTTTTGAGTTATTTGCCCCAGCCAGCACATCAGACCTGCTTTCATCTCCCCCGAAACTTCGTGCAACACCATCCTCAGCGCATGCTGCTGGACCACAAGGACACACTTACATCATGACTTCATTGCCACCAAACTCCAAAAGATTGAATCGGGTTCAGAAAATCCTCCGAAATCTACTTCAACACTATTTGATAACCACCATGAACAATTCAAAATCGATGTATCAATTGCTACCAGACCCCGAAACACAATTGCATCATGAAAACGAATGTGTAAGACAGCTTCATTCCATGACTGCAACACATGCAACAAGCTAATTTTCGCTCCCTCATCCGTCCATGACACAGTAGAAAAATAGATCGTCCTTCAAGTGCGCCAGTGGCATGCAAATGATGGCACTGTAGGAGAGCTGTTGAATCATGACTCATAATTCTATGACTTCTGGTTCCTCGCTCTCCACTGCCTGCAAGGACAAGCTACATTCTTATCAGAACAGGGCCGTTTGAATTTCCAAATCTGCTGCTCCGAGTTGCAGCGCTCCAGGCGCAGGTCTTCATGACCGCTCCCTGCATTACGGACCTCGGCGATGCTTCAAACAGAGAGTATACGGATCTGGAAGGTCTGGCTGAAGTGCTCTCTCGGAGACTCACTAAGAAGCTGACAGAATTTAAGAAGCCCAGGCGATGAGTCGTCTGAGCCACTCAAATGGCTGCAAATTTGGGCAGAGCTTTCCATTCATCAACTCCCGCGAATCATTTACCCCTACCCCCTGCATACTAACCTGTGTATACATGTGTACAGAACATGTGTATATACATATATCAGTATACATTAGGATGGCATTGACTGCAATTACAGTGTTCGTGCAGAGTGGTGAAATTTCGCGCGTAGAAGCTACGATCCCCAGAATCGATCAAACGACTATGAGACTCAGCAAAGCTGCAACAAGACTACGTAGACTAACATCAGGACAATTGGTACTACAGGAAGGTACTGCTCACTTCATGCAGCGATAGCGCAACACAGTCTTGGAACGAATCTTGCAACTTGCTAGATGTCCACAACCGAAGTGACCACGAGGAACAAGCCTGATACCTGTACCAATGTAAGAAGAGCGGAAACATGTTCTTCAACGTTGCTTCTGCGCTGGTGATGAACATAATCTTGAAAGGGATAGTCGCGTAGTCTCATGAAAGTGGAGGGACCAAGGTGCCATTGTTGCTTTGGCATGGGCAGAAGAGTAGAACTGAAGTGAGTTTACGGATTCCATTATAAGGCTCGACAAGTCAAAGCCAGGGGGCATCAATTCTGAATCAATGCTCACAAGTACGAGTATTTGCAAATTATAGAAAGCGCAACGACCTGAACCCTGAAGACGACCCTGTCTTGGCTTGCCTCCCTGCTTCTACGGGTGAAAAGTGTAACAGGAACTGGCCTGCGGCGTAGCGGGAACTATGAAATGGGATCCGGGAAACCGAGAACCCGCAAGAGAAACATCAACCCGATCATTATGAAATTAAGATGACTACTTTCATAATTGCCTCTGCAACCAATAATTCTGAAATTAAGGTGTGAAATTAAGGTGACCGGAAGGCGGTCGCCCCAATTTCAGAACTGCCGCAGGCTCAAGTCAGGATTAAGGCATCAGATTTCACCCTCCTATTCATTATCGCACCCATCATTATCCACATCACCAACATCACCAAAAAGACCAAGAAGTGATCGTCACCGTACGCATCATGAATGGACTAAGAGTACAAGGAACAGGCCTGGTGCACCCACTGACAAATTCCACGTTTTCTTGCTTTAAAGCACGTTGGTTCGCCATTGAATCTCGTTTTCCAACATATTAGCATTGAAACACAAAAAAAAGATCTCGTTATTCAAAGGGGACAATCTCGTCTTACAGACCAGGCACGTGATTTCCAGGACTTGACCGACGTTAGACGGGCTTGAAGGAACTTTAGTCCGTCGCTCACTTGACGCCTGCATTACTCCTGCATTGCACCCTGCGATTTGCTCTATCCACCGCCAGGGGGGGGGGGTTGGGCGGAGCCTTGTTCTGCTCAAACCGCACGCTGACTCAACCCCAAGTCTCCTCTACATTTTCATTTTCTCGCAAGCCCTTGTCACCGCATCCTCACAATTAATCCGAGCGCTAGATTAATAAAAGGGACCATATTTAAAGAATTTTTTGGGTGTAAACTTCGCCGCCAAAGACTAGCTACAATTAGGTGGCTTTTTGTATGGAGAAACGGGACCAGATTGAAAGAAAATTGTTGGGAACCTATCCCGAGGATAGAGATACTCAACACATTCCTGTTCATTTTCGAATTAATAGAGGTTCAAGAGCCCCAATGACGCAGGAATGCATTCCTATTCAATTTTAATTGAGTTCCAGGAGCCCCAATCACTCTGTTAATCTGGCGCCCTCCATTTCTTATTCTGGCGGGGCCGGGGGGCCCCAAATTAATCCGGTGCTAGGATTAGGTGAAAACCAGGACTAAGACGTTGGTTCCTGTTTCGCCCCGGCCTGGTTCCTGTTACGGACCCCGGTGGTTCGTGTTGAGGGCTTCCACCTGGTTCCTGTCACGAAGGTGATGTTACGGTCCCCCTGTTTCCTGTTACGGCGTTTACTGCTGCTTCTACGACGGCGTGGAGCTAAAAGATACTGCGTCCAGAAACCTCTGAAGTGTCCACCCTCACCCCTCTCCATGGCATTTGCTGAGAAGATATGCTTCGGCACTCAAAGCTCTCGGGCTCGCACGCTGCATGTTGCAAGCTTCACCTGCCACTTCAAAAACAAAGGAACTGCTGCAGTCAAATACAGCTGCGCAAACACGGTCTGTGCGCATATTATAGTGAGATGTATCATCCAACGAGCGCGCCATACATAGCACCCCTGTGATCTTAGAAAAACGATTGCACTAGCAATCTCGTGGAAACCGAAGATGGCACCATGAAGCCTTGAGCGTGTCAAAGGGGAAGGAAGCGCATCGGCCCACGATCCTTGGTTGGGCTCTGCAGCCTTGAAGTTAAAGATCATTCCTTGCAATAACCGTCTTCGATCAGGCACAGAACCGCACGAGAAATCAGACATATTCAGACATACTCGCCCCCTGTCTGGCCTTATCTCAACACACAACCAAGACTTGCTAAGTCCAGCGCCCTCCCAGGCCTCCTGTGATGCCCTCTGCGAGCAACTCCCGGCTATCCATGGCTTGCTTTGAAAGTTTCCAGGCTTCGCTGACAATAATTGCTGGCGGCCAGGCAGGATCACCTTTCTGTAACTAAATCTGAGTCACACTCTCTAATTCGGAAATTACCACAAAACCCATCCCACGTTGTGTCATGTGCAGACAAGCCATTCACGATTGTGTAGCTCAAGCTGGTACCCTGCACACTTGGCTTTTGTGACCGCACAATTCTTCGGACGAAAGGCTGTAGTTTTGGAGCTTTGTCAGAACATGCCTTGAAAGGGCACGAATGCTGCCGGAAATGTGTGTAACTGTATAACAATGAACCCTGTGAGTTCCCGCACCATGCCGCACCCGGTGCTGCTGCGTTGCCCAACATCAAATCTTCCGGCATCAACTTAAAAGAGCAGTCTGCCTTTCAATATCCAAAGCTGCTCTGGACGTGAGGAATGCAACGGCTAAGATCATGTCACATCGACTCAAGCTGACGGTGCAAAAAAAAAAAAAAAGGCTTGAAATTGCGGCCGCGCTGCAGAAGTTATTCAAATAAACAGAATTCTGGGTTCAAGTGTCCCGCGTGCGCCACTCGGAGCCACTGCCGCGTCGTCTCTGTCATACCACAAAATCCAATACGCTCGCAACATGCGCGCTTGTATTTTCTGTCATGTACTGGTGAGCTTAAATGAAAAGATATTTCCAAGCATACACACTCGGCGCGGATAAGAGGCTGTGCTACCCCTTGCCTGCAGTGCTGTTGGCATGTTTCGACAGCTAAGCAATGTATCACTTGCTGACCAAAACCTTCACATGCTGGCGCGCTACAGATCATGAATTCGTGTGCGAAGAATTTGCGGTAAAAAAAAGAAGAATGGCGCCACACTTGCTGGCACTCTGACCCATCCCAACATGATGCAACGGGAGCTGAATTCCATTTTGCATCCTTCCTTGCCGGAAGCTGCATGCCTAGTACTGTTTACAACCATTTTTTGCACATGACCAGGGCCGGCCCTGGTGCAACTATGTACAGGTGAGTGCAGCGCCAGCTAGTTCGCGGCGCTGCGATTTGGCTGATCAAATAGCCACGTCAGAGTCGTCGTCCACTTGCAGTGGGCCCTCTCACTCCTACCATGCAACCCTGAAACTCGCCTCTCACTCAGCCTGCCCATGCACGAGCTCATCCATGAGAGGCACGCCTCCTTGATTGAGGAGTTGAGTCCTTGCCACCAACAATAAGAATCTTCGTGAAAAACATTGTACAATCTGCGCAACTGCCCTGGCTAAAGTACCAAATCGGAATAACACGAGTGACTGATAAGCTGAATCTGGAATGCCTCGATCTTCTCCATGTGAGACTAAAGAGTTTGCGTTGATCAGCATGCCCCTTTCGAGGGAGTGGGAGGCTCGCTGGCGATGAACACTGATGCAGGTCCATACAGATGAGAAGAAGAAGCAAAGAGCTCCTAAATGAAGCAATGGACACTGTAGTGATGATGGAAAATCAATGGGTAAAAAAAATTGGAAGGTAAAAGAAAACAACAAGATGATTTGGCTTCGGACTTTAAGCTGGAAGCCGGGCCTGCCATCCAGCCTTGGCACTAAAGGTCAAGGCTTTTGTTACAGTATCACTGTGGAGTCTTCGAAAAACAGGGACGCTCTTAGCCACTGCGTGTGTAGGGATTGTGCGAAGTTTACAGGGGTCTTAATTAGGGATTTCACAGGGAGTATCTTCGGAAAATCCAACAGATCATGTTTGTTGCTGGAAGTCCTGCAAGGAGCAGTGCCGCCAAGAGGGACCAAATCCTCATCTGCGCAAAGGGCAAGCCCAAGGCAGCCAGAAACGGCCGCCACAAAAGTAATGGCAGAATGTGGCATATGAAGGCATACGTGTTTCCTCTAGTGCTAGAATTTGCTCACCCAGAATTGCAGCCAGCAGCACGAAAGCCATCGTCTCCCGGCCGGCTTTTTCCTGGAGCCGCAGCGAGGGCACTTCGCATGCATGGACCTTGGAGCTGGAGGGTGAGGTGGCTTGGGGTCTGATCCGAGTCCGTGACAAACTTCGCAACATCACACTGCGCAGGTGCATAAGGCAAAGGGGTTGGGATCAGAAAATCAAATGAGGATCATGAAAAAGTTTGAGAATCAAAATAATGATCAACAAAAATCAGAATGAAAGACGGCAGAGGTGACAGCGGTGCCGGAATGTAAGAACGCTCTACTCTAGAGTTCGAATGTGAACCCGAGGTGCGAGGATGCTCTACGCGAGACATCAATCTGCATGTACGACACGAGGGCAGCGGTTCCAGAATGCAAGAACATGAGAACAGGTGAGTTCCGCAATGCTTCGAATCGATAGGATCTAGATTCATCAAGGAGCAGGGGTGTTGGGGGGCGCAGCCCCCCCATTTGCAAACCAATGAGGAATGTGACAGGTGTTGATGATTATTCTGGGGTTTTCCAAGACTTAGAGCCCCATGTTAAGAGTGGGGAGCGGATTTCCCCTTTGATGTCTTTCTGGTACAGAATTTTGACTTGCTTATTGATCCTATGTGATGTGTTCTTGATCCTTATGTGTTGTTCCCGAATGCGTAGCAGAAGGGTTCCCGTTTTAAAGTTGGGGTCCAGGGGTCCAGGAGGCGACGCGAGGTCGTTGCGTTTGTGTCCGCAAAGCGTCCGCAAGCGT